TGCTATACGTAACGGAGAGCCGCCCAGTAACGCTACTAAACGATCCGAGCCCGACATGTTTAAGGATTTTTTTAATGGTTATCAAAAAATATATAAAAATGAAAAATTACACTTCTGATGAACTAAATATCTTAATAGCAAATAGCAATATTCCATAATTAAATTTTTGATAAATCTTGGAGCAGAAGTCAACACATTGGATGTCGTCTATAGACGTCTCATAGATAGTCATCATCTGTATGTCGCCTATAGTTGTTTGTAGCGAAAGGGTTAAAAACTACTTTGAACCCAGTTGGAATTTTTTCTGACTAATTTTTCTAAGCTAGCTGCTAGCTTCCAAACGTACAACAATATTCTTCTTATTCTACTGGAAGAAGACAAAGTTTATCTATGAGTTATATTTAAGGTGACCATATTTTTTTTTAAGTCAAAACCGGAACTGCAATTTTTAGTTATGCTAATACGGGACGGAGGAGGGGGAGGTTTTTGAAATAAAATATGCTATTCAAGAATACAATGAAAAGTTTTTTATATAAATCATTTTCTATCAATCAAAATTGCGGACTTTTGTTTCTATTTTTTTTTATTTTTGAGCCTTGCTTAAAACTTTCTTCAATTTTCTTCATAATTAATTTGAAAAAATTAGCACTTGTTCGTTTGTTTTTATAATTTCTATTAATTTTAATTTTAATTTTCAAAAAACCGAAACAAAAGATCTAAATCCGGGACAAATATTGCTTCCAGAAAAACCCGGGACACAAGGTGAAAATCTGTTACTGTCCCGGTCAAACCTGGGCGTATGGTCACCTAGATAGTTAGAGATTTATTAAGTCAATCACATTAGATTATTTGTTCAATATTTTCTATTGACCTAAAAAATTAATTAGTATTATTCTATAAAGTTTTGGAGATTACTAACTTGTATATTTTTTTCTAGGGTCGGTTTTCCAGTTATGATCGGCAGCATATTAGTAACCACCGTGTACCTTATGATCGCCCACGTCGCCTTGCAATGGCATTGATGTCACATGTACCTGAAATTACAATTAGGTTTTATGAAATATTGTTTATAATTTAAGACACCCAATATTAATGCAATAATTGCAAACATGAGTAACGCACATTTAATGAGAATTGCATTTGATTCACTATTAAATACAGATATTGACATGCATTAGAAAAGAAAACTATGTTAAGAATAAGCTTATGAACATGAATTTATATAGTATTCGAAACATGTTTCAATAAATTCATCAAATACGCTTTAGGTGAAATAGCATATTTTTATGAGTATAGTGTATATTTTCTAAAACAAAATACGAGATTGGATGTATCATATTTTTAACTAAAAAATCATGTGTGCAATTTTATAATATTAAAGAAAAATCGAATTGCCTTAGTGTTCGTTCGCGAATATTAAACTGAGGTATAAGTATTAGTGAGTATTAAATTAAAATCTTAGAAAATTGTTCTTCGTACAAAAATAATTACACATCACTTTGTTGCACGTGAAATATTGTTCTTAATAATAAATCTGTTACTACAAATCTAATAAAGTTAATGTATAAACTAATACGAATCAAATCGTGGTAAGCACGTTACCATATCTAAAATATTTTTGATAATGTATATAATTATAGATCTATAAAAAATCATTGATAGTTTTTGAAGGCAAAATGTAAAATTATTTTTAGATGCATTTAAACAAATTGAAAAATGCATTTTGTCATTTCATTAACATAGATTTCCTATTAGACCATTTAAATAAACAATTGTTTAGTTTGAACAAATGGTGTAGGTGAATTTAATTTAAAGTATTGTAGACAACTAATTAAATTGATAAATAATAAAATGTAATTGTTATAAATCAAAATTTTCATATAAACTTGTATATGTATAATATAGTTTAGCGACATGTTATTTATAGATACGTATATTTTAGTAATTTATGATATTTGAGTTACGTTAATTTTAGAATAATTATTGATATTTTATTTTATCATAATATTTGTTTCTCACTTGCATATGTACATTTTATTTCGAAGATCTTTAACGATCTTGTAAAAGTTCAAATTAAAAAAACCTCATAAAATTTCGTATGTGATAATTAAAAATATTCAATAAGATAAAGTGAATTCTAAATTTGATGAAAATATATATAATTGGTTACTAGTAATATATATTTTTTTATCAGAAATACTTGTTGTATAGGTAATTTTGTCACTGTAAATAAACAATTTTGAATAAAATTAATTTTATTTTTAATAAGTAATTTTCAATGAAATTTGTTAGATGACTGGAGCAAGAAGATGATTGGATAACGTACCAATTAAATCAGAAATTTAGATGAACATTAAATTAGTATCTAGATTTTGTACAAACAGGTACAGTAATTAAATTATATTTCTTAAATTAAAAACACAATATCAAATCTCACATAAAATTAATTTTGGCAAGTTTTGAAACAACAAATTTGGTTCTTTATATTTAAAATATTTTAAAAGGAATGTTATTTTACAGGGCAAAGTCGTCAGTCAAATCAAGTAGATCATGTGGATATGGAGATAAACCAATATGGTAAACCAAATGTTTCCAATGATTTTTTTGAAATTATTATTTTTATCCCTATTTCTGTTGAAACACATATTTTTCTTATAATTAATTCTTCTATCGATATCCCACGTTATTAAAAAAAAAAAAACACAACTGAGAAGGATTGTTATCCCCCCGAGGTGTGGTGGAGTCATAATTGAACTTGAGCGTGAGATGAACCTAATTCCAAAATTTCATGAAAATTGGAGTACAGTAAAAAAAATCAGACCCAAAACGCTCCATTGACTGGAGGACTCTGAGTTTTTGCATATACGCATCAGACACGAATTACAAACATCAAAGTGGGTCTTCTCTCGATTTTGAAATTTTGTTCTTATTGTTAGTCATTCTTTTTTTCTTGTTTTTCAACCTTCAAATAATATTCTGAAGCTTGAAAAAACTATTTGATTTTCTCTTCTCCTCTACTGCCTGAATTACTTTAAAACCTTTAATTCTTTAGGAGTCAACTACTCAAACTCATATTCATTTACTCAAAATTTAGTATCAAGTTGGAAGGTTTTTCTACATATTTACCCAGTGGCCAAATTATTGTGTTGATAAACGAATATCCGCACATTTATTAATCATATTATTTAATCAATCGCTTGTACAACTTAAGATGAAACTATTGTTACAAAAAATACGTTAATTTCAAACAGAAACGTAACCATTTTCAGAACTTAAATACATATTTTGTAATATGTATCCAGGCGTATTTAATTACTGAAACGAGAAAATATTTCTGTATTCATTAATGTAATCAACCATTGGTGGCGTATTATTTTACATGATATTTGAGGATTAATTAATTGATATGATAGAATTTAATGTATGTAATGTATGTATATTTAATAAAAAATAAAATTTATAAATATTATATACTTTCTTTGCTAATTCGATATGGTAAACATATTACAGCAGTTTCAAAAATATTTACTCCAAAACTTATCAAAAATCCGATGCGACTGCTTTGTTCTAAGTATAAAAAAGGCTACAAGCTAACATATCATTTTTAACCCTTTCGTTTTTAACTCGGATGCCGCCGCTACGGCTTCAAAATACAAATAAATCTCGCAATTCGCGAGTGGAAAGGGTTATTTTTGCTGAAAGTAATTGACATTTAAAACTGTCCGATTTCATTTTTACTGAACAACTTCAGTTATCAAATATACTTATCGTTTTCATGATAAATATACATATGCGCCTCTAAAATTAAATAACTTTGATATAAATACCAAATACTATTTGTTAATCATAAATAAAATTCTTCACCAGAACTATTCTTGTTGTCATTTTTTGTACTTTAATTTGAAGTAATACTTTTGTTTTGCAAAATCGTTATAAGGTCATTTTTGTCCAACGAAGTTCATATAGATTTCTAATTTTTATTACTTCCGTTGCGTGATTCAAACATGTGTGCAATACCGTTCATTACATATGTATATCTTCTATTTGTTGTAACACATTTTTAATAGAATTCAGGTAAAAAAACATTGTTTAGTAATTTTGTGATTTTTTTATTAGATTTTGTGTTACTAACGCAGTTTTTCTTATATTGGGTGTAAATTACTAAAAACTCATTGTTGCGACTTGCAAATGATATACTAAAAAGTCTTAAGCGCACGCGGCCCATTATTTCAAGCTTTAATTAATCACTATAACTAAAACACTTTTCGCAGGCCTGTAATATTTTAGGAAAATCGCTAAGACCATCTAGGTACTTGATCATTAAGCAAAGTGTTATTAAAATTGCCAAAAAATCATTTTTCAACAAATAATTACGAAGATACTGTACACAGTTTCTTTTTGATAAAAACTAATCAATTCCAACTGATATCTTTCAAACAATTTCCGAAAATACTTCAACCAAAGATCAAATTTTGCCTTACCACACTTTACACAATTTTACTAATTTTGTTCTCAAACGATTCAGAATGACTTGAATTGTCGGCAAAACATTTACGCATTATAAATTAGCAAATAAAAATTACTTTCAAACACAAAACTAAATTTTAATTTGAAAATTAAAAGGCCGAAAATAATGGTTACTTTTACTGTTAAGATTTCACAATTTATGATGGTTAAATGTATTTACATAATTTTTGTTCAAAGAATGTTGTTTGTTTTAACACATAGTAGTATAGATTATTCTGTGCCAAACAGAAATTTTTTGAGAAAAATAATTTCTCAAATTGATACTTATTTTATCTAAATGCTTGCTAATAAAGTATTTATAGTAGATTTTATATTTATGATTAAACGCCTTATATCTAATTATCTAAATTTAAAGTTTTATATCTGATTAAGTCCTAATTTTATCAATTCGATTCATTTTCTTAATAACTTAATTTCCTAGTTACCGATTGTTATGTCCTTAGTACTATAATAAACATGAATAAAAATTGGAGTTCTTAAAAAATATTTGTATTTGACTAGTATTCGACACTTATATAATTCATATGAATTATAACATTGGTTATCATCTTAAACTACTTTGCAGGGAATTTTGAAGCATAGGACTGGTTTGGCACTGTCATCCACAAGAGATACCATCAAATCCAAGTTAATCTAATAAAAGATATGAACAATTATATGTTTATTATATGAATGATATATAAAAGGGAAGTAGGAAATTATTAAATATGATAAAAAGTTAAAAATGTTTTAATTCATATAATTTTTTCAGATTTTTAAAGTTGCTTATACTCACTGCTGGGTAGGACTGAAGTACTGGAACTTTCAGGTTGTACGTGACTTTAACGTCTTTTTTCAAAGGACAAGATCCTTCTTTAAGGTGTTGGCAAGCATCACTTAGCTCTGGGGGTAATGGGTAAGGAACGGTGACACCTGCAACTTTGGCTTTTACCTACAAAGAAATAATGTATTAATTTATTTCTAAAAGGTATGTATTAATATATTATTTGTTCATAAACGGATTTATTTATATGTTTTAACTACCAAAATAACTGAAATATTATTTTGACAGGATTTTATAGATAGCAACCTAAACAAGTATCCTATCTCTATGTGATGAATTTTTATTACTACAATTTCTGCAATAGTGATGATTTTTCAATTGAGGCAGCAATGTTGGATAAAAACGATGTCACTACTGCTTGATATCGGGTAGCCCGACCCGAGGTGGGTATCGTATGTGGGACCACTAAATCAAATGATTATAAGATATTAAAGTTAAATTTTACTTTTTAAAGCATATTATATATTTTTCTAAGAAAAGATTTATTCATGTAATTTGAGATTATTAAAAAATTTAATGACTTTCGAATGCGTTGTATAAATAAATTGCAAAATAAATAAATATTACCAAAATATTCAAATACCAATAGCAGTCCTGTCTCTTACACATTCAATTAGCAATAGCCCAATAATTAGAAAATTTTATTTAGGTTTTTAATACGATTATGATCTTTTTGATTTTTTTTCTTACCTCTGGTTTCAGAGTAGCAGAATCGGCAGAGACAGTAAATTTAACATCAGTCAAAGAGGTGCTTCCACGAACTAATGGACAAGGTAATTTGTCACATCCTTCGACGTCAACACTGGTTGGCAGAGGAGCTCCATTATCACCTTCAAGAGGTAATAATAAAATTGATACATATATCTTAAATTTTTGACTTGATGGGAGATCAATATCAGCAACAAAATATTACCCACAAAATAGTTGTAAGAGATTTTGAAGACAATATAACATTTTGTTTCCATTGTTTTATATTTTTGTAGCAAACCAGAAACAATATCCTATCTGTGCATTGCAAAATAAAATTTCTACATCAGAATTTAACTATGTATGAATCATTAATTCATATTTCCTTAAACAGATTAGTAAAATACAATTAATATAGTTTTAATTAAATTAATATCTATGTCAATGTTTTAAGTTCAAGAATGATTGACGATGACAAGTTACATTAATACACGATTAATCAATGAAATTAAGTTATTACCCAAATAAATCGAGTCGTATCAATAAAATTAGGTTTTAATCAGATATAAAGTTTATTATAATTTGAATTCAGATAACCAGATATAAGATTTTTTTTATCGCAAATGTGATAAAATCTACCATAAAATTTTTATTAGCCAATATGTAGATAAAGTGATTATCAGTTTGTGTAATTTTATACTAAAAATTATTTTTTTTAAATTTATTCAGTTGTCACAATACTTAAACTCTCCTTTTTAATGAACAAAATTCTTAGAACAAAATTTGAATTATTAACATTAAGTTAAGTTAAGCCATAAAGTACCAAATATTATTGATTAAATGACAAGTTTTAAATCGACTAAAGAACAATTTTATATAAAATTGAATATATATTCAAATATCGAAGCAATGACGTAAAAGAATTTGCTAACATCAACTAATTTAAACATTATGCAAAAATTAAAAGCGTAAATGGGCGCCCAATTTTGTTTACAAATGCACAAAAATTTACACAAAAATAAAATTAATTTTAGAAGACTTTATCAAATAAAATAAAAATCAATTTTGCTATGTAATGATATTAATTAATAACTGTTTATATAAATTGATTGAACCGTATTCTTTGATAATGTAAATTATGATCAATAATATTAAAATAAAACAATCTACCACTCATATTTATATCTGTCGACAGTTTTTTATTATACTGATATTAACTATGTATTCTTATAATATTTAAGTAGTACAAAATCATAAATTAAACTCGAGACTATTGGCGATGAAATTGGTGAATTTTTTATTCATATGAAGATTTTATTGAAAACAAATAAGACGGCAATCTAGCAAAAAAAAATTATCATAATATTTTTATTAATCACTGATTGCTCAAAGTCAAATTGGACCTTTGTGCTCCGTCCTACCCAATTTCAAGTTTTTGTGGTATAATATTAGTTTAATTTTTTATAATAGGTTGAATAGGACAAACCTAATTTATCAGTACCAGTTTCAAAATTTTGTAATAATAAATAATAAGTAAATGTAATTTAATATCATAAATATACTAATACTAATAATAATAAATAATAATAATAATAAAATAATAATATGATAATAATAATGATAAAATAATAATAATAATAATAATAATAATAATAATAATAATAATAAATATAATAAAAAGTGATATAATAAAATGTAATAATAAATAAATCGTCAGGCGACAAAAAAAACAATAATGATGAATAATAATGGCGCTATTTTTTTTTAAAGATAGAACTTTTTTATAGTAATATATTTTTTTTAATAATAGTTTCTACTTACATTTTGCGATGGTGGTAGCTTGTACAGCAAAAGGCACAATGATAGCCAAAACAATCAAGGCACGCATTTTGAAAATTAATACTGATTTGTCAAAATGAAGAAATGATTTACTGAATCACTAAAATGACTACGACCTTCTAAAGATTTTTGACAAGGTTTATATAGCAACTTTATTAAATTTATCTCTCTTATCATTAGGCAACTATCTATTATCACGTGCTTGCATATTTCTTTACATGCGTTTCTGATAATATTTATCTATTGTTTTTTAAAACTTAGGCCAGGTGTTCAATAATAAACAAATTCATCCCAGGTGTTCAATTATTAATTGGATGAGGCACTCTAAACATAATCTTTTATAAAAGATTGGAAAATTTAAATTAATTAATTAATCTATGTATACGCAGAAAGATAAAAAATGCTATATTTGAAAAATTTAAAATTTAGCAAAGATTTATAGTTATTAACACGTACAGTAGCTAGCCTCAAAACTCCGCGGGTAAAATGGTCCAACTCAAAATCAAATGAAGTAAGGATTTCTTAGCAACAATATATGAAAGTACAGGGCAAAAAATGTGTAACAAGTCATTACCTTAAATAGGACAACTGTGCTGCTACGAAATAAATGGCTATGTTTGAAAATTTATTACAAAACTATTTGCTTTAGTTTTTTTGAATGTGGGCTTTATTGTTTAATTTACGAGACCTTAATCTAATTTTCAAGTATACGTTATTTAATTGTTTTACAAGATTTATTGTTATTTTAAAACTTGATTCAACAGATGTTTTTATATAACCTTTGTAATAGGTTACTCGTGGATGGGGTATAAAGGACCAACTAAACCTTCACTTTGGCAAAGATGTTAATAATAAAAAACAACAATTATGAAGGTAAATTAATTTGAAAAAAAAAATCAATGTTACAAGTTTTACAAGTTTATTCGTCATATTACACATTATTCTTTTATAATAAAATTTTCTGAATAGTATCATCACATATGGCATAGTCATATTATTAATTTCTAATATGGGCATCAAAATTTTACTTATATTAAGACAAAAGATGGTGTATGCTGTGGTACAAAAATGGATATAAATAAAAATAATTATTGTGAGATATAAATTAGGCATATCTAAATTAAAACCCAAACCCAAACCTTTCGCTCTTTGAACCCACGGTATCAAAGTTTTGTATTTAAATTGCGTAAAAATATAAGTGAAATTGCTGTTCTGCATATTAATCCTCTATCATAACATACAACTAATCCACTTATAATTTTTATTTGATAAATGCACTCACAATTGAATGGAACACCTGGCGTAAATTGCATTGAAAACAATAAACTAATTGTCATCATTGACTTGGAAAAAATCTTGCACGTCATTTGATTTACAAGATTTCTAACATTTTAGAACTATATAAGTTCTGCCAAAGCCACCAGAAAATCGTACTGTCCTGGTTGATTTAGTGAATTAAGCAGTAATTGATTCATTGTGTTTCTAATTATCAAAATGCGTCTTTTTGTTGTTTTAGCTATTATTGTGCCCTTGGCAGTTCAAGCTACAAAAGTTGCAAAATGTAAGTAATATAGTTTCATATCAATAATTGTTATTAACTTCGAAAAAAACAAGTTTAAGCATTCGTCAGAAAATCACATTGCTAATTTTATTTCTTCTCGATAAGTCATTTTGAACCACATTTTTCCAAAACGACTGTACAGATTTAAAAAAATTAAGACCTATTCAAAAAGAGGTTACATTAAAGAAGTTCATCAATATTAAAAATAGAGGGCAATGTCAAAATTTAAAGTTTTGTGTCAATTTTAAAAGCTAAAAAATGATTATTCATTTATTTACATATATCGGACTGCTTCTACAACTGGCCTGAAAGCCATTAACACCTAGTTCAAATTTTGTTAACCTTATCCATTATCATCGAATAAATACAGGAAATTCATTAGTTGTGACAAATTATGTAATAAAATTATTTATTGCAATTATTCTATTCTAAAACTAGTGGCGTTCGTATTATATATGTAAATGCTTTAGCCTTGCAATCACAGGGTTATGAATTCAAAACGTGCGCTACGTACTAACTGATATCAAGCAGTAGTAATGTCCGTTTTCAATTATAGACCCAAATTATTTTCAAATTTTATAAGATTGTTGCAACGTATCGCATCACACTTCAGAAGAAAAGTAAAATTTTCATCCCCAGAAGAAAAGACATCCATTGGGTTGCCTTCTGATCGGTCTTTTTATTTCGCGGAGCTTTAAGCTTTGTTCTACCCTACTGTTAGAAAATAGTTCTGATTGCTCTGGTTAATATATTCTAAAGCTGGCAATATTCAAAGCTAACTCTTTTATAAAGAATTCAATAATTACAGAAAATTTATATTTACATTGAAGTATCAATCATCTACATAATGAAAATATTTGTAAAATCAAACGTCAAAAAAAGTCAAACTTTAACAATTATACATTCTAGTACAATATTATTTTCAATAAAAAAGCATTTGTATTAATATTCATGATAATATTGACGCATTTCTGACGCATATACAAGTATCAAATGCGGATGCGATATAGTTAATAAATTACAAAAAAATGTAAAAAAATGTTTTATGTCAGATGTGTACAATCTTCTTTATTGTTTTTACCTATATATTATTGCCAATGAATAAATTACACTTTCTAATAAGATTTATCTGGAATTAAAAGTAGATCATGTAGCGCATTTTGAACGATATTAATTTATAATTTATTGATTTAACTATTTTACTGCGTGTCACATATAAAAATCGTATTTAGTTTATAAACATGGATTAAAATCTTAATAATTATGGTACAAATAAATTATATAATTATAATAAAAATTATAATAGCCTTTACATACACCCCAAATCTTTTGCGCTGAAGCCTTAATAATAAGTTTATATGAATTTTTTCTGAAGAAATGTTTATTTTCGTGTTTTAGGAAAATATAAAAATATTTACTCTTATCATAAATACTTAAAATATTGCTGAAATTCATGGCAAATGAGTAATAATTATTTGATTAATCGGTTTAGAGTTTATTTTTTCCTTTTTAATTCTACATTCAACGCTATTGATTTATTTAATTAATTGATGATTTTTAGTACATTTTTTTTTCTTTCATTATGACTGAAATGTTGCAAGTAATTTAATTTTGTTGACACTAGGTTTGTAACATATGTACTGCACAAAATATTTATTAAATTAACAAATTAATCAAGATTGTTGCAAATTATCTTTGAATAAATGTGTGGTATTTGCATGTTAAGTGTTAATATAAAATGTAATTCATCTTTGGTTACATAAAGAATGCAAATCTAAATCCATGTGTAATAAATCATAATATAACATAATAAAAAAATTATATTTATGGAGTTGTTACAGTGAAATTAATTAACTTGTCATAAACTTGAAAAGATAATAACACAAACGAAAATTTTTATTAATTCAAAATTATAATAATAATATTATATTAGCGATCTTGATTAATTTGTTAATTTAATAAATATTTTGTGCAATACATATGTAACAAATAGAGTGTCAACGAAATAAATTTCTTGCAACATTTTGGTCATAACAAAATAAAAAACACTACAAATCATCAATTAATTAGTTAAATCAATAGCGTTAAACTAAATCTTTGAGCAAAAAATTATGTTATTTACAAAAAATGAAAGTTTGAAATTAATATTAAAAACTCATTTGAGTAAAGTTATATAATAATTTTGCAAATATTAATGGAAAAATATATTATTTCAATTATGAAAAAAATTCTAATTGATTTATTCAAGGAGAAAAAAAAAATTCTAATCGCTACTGCTTATTACGGTCAACCCGATACCGAGCAGTAGCACTTGGAAATAAAGATTGAAAATAACTCTTCTTGGTAATTTCTGCATCTAATAAAATAATATATGATTAATATCAGAGAAATTTCCATAATAAAATAATTTATCAAATATCGATAGGATAAACGTTGGGCTATTATCTAAATAGAGCGTAAACAGCTTCATAATTAATTCATAAACATAGTTTTTATTGTACACTACATAGCAAAAATATTCATCAAACTTCAACATGAGAATTGTTGAATCTTTTAACATATTCGCTACTATGCACGCATATGGTGCGTGAGACCGTTGTCAATAGCTAGACGCTGAGCATAACAGGTGCAGTCGATGTCCTGGCACTTTAGAGTTTTAACTTCTATTTTTAGTTTCTAATTTCTAAATTTATCTTGTTTTGATACCTTAATCCAGCCTTGTCAATTTCCTGCTAAAAAGTCCAGTAATGGTTTTATTTTATAAACGACGGTTTATTCTCCAACGATCCAACGATCGGTTTTTCTTTCGTGAAAAGTGATCTTAAAGAGTTATAGTTTTTTATTGTGTATCACAAAGCAAAAATATTCATCAAACTTCAACATGAGAAGTGTTAAATCTGTAAACATATTCACCATTGCGCACGCATATGTTGCGTGAGAACGTTGTTAATAGCGAGGCGCTGAACTGGTGCATTCGATATCCTTGCACTTTAGAATTTTAACTTCTATTTCCAGTTTCTAATTTCTGAATTTATCTTGTTTTGGTACTTTGATTTTATAAACCACGGGTTATTCTCCAACGATCCATCGATCGGGTTTTTTTTCGTGAAAAGTGATCTAAAAGAGCAGGTTTACTTTTTTCGCATTTCAGAAGTTGATATAATATAATGATAAAAATTGATATAATATCTGTTTCTAACAGAACAGATTATCACATTTAATTTTTACTAATTTCATTTTTGTTTAGCACAGGGGGTAGTATAAGCAACACAATGTGTTATAAGGGATGAATACCTATGCAATTTGCGCTATAAATATTTTGCTCAAAAATATGACTTAAACTTGTTTGCTGTTTTTGGTGTTTTTATGTTAAACTGTAATTTATGATACTTTTCAAACTTTATATCACATACTGAATGATATATCATGTAGCCTTAAAAGATTGAAATCAATAGCGTTGAATACAGAATTTAAAAAAATTAAACTCTAAACCAATTAATTAAATAATTATTACTCATTTGCCATAAATTTTAACATTATTTCAAGAAC